GAGCCGAGGAGGCGGACTCTGTGTTTACATCAATAACAACTGGTGTAAAAATGCTAGAATAGTCACAAGTTTTTGCTCTCCGGACATAGAGCTTCTGACTGTTAGCTGCAGACCCTTTTACCTGCCCAGAGAGTTCACTGTTGTTACCATCACAGCGGTGTATGTCCCCCCCAGCGCTGATACAAAGGAGGCCATGAGTGTTCTCTATCGGACTGTCTCTGAGCTGCAATCTACACACACAGAGGGCGTTTTCATCATTGCTGGAGATTTTAATCAGGCGAATATGAAAACTGTTCTCCCTCATTTTTATCAACACGTGGATTTTGCTACTCGTGGAGAGAACACTCTGGACTTAGTTTATACAAACATAAAAGACGCATTCAGAGCAGCCCCCCGCCCCCACATCGGCTCCTCAGACCACCTTTCTGTGATGCTAATTCCTGCATACAGACCCCTGCTGATCAGAGCAAAACCTACAGTGAAGCAGGTGAGGGTCTGGACGGAGGGGGCCATGGATGCACTCCAGGACTGCTTTGAATGCTCTGAATGGGACATGTTCAAATCAGCAGCAACATATGACAACAAGATCAATGTTGATGAGTACGCCATGACTGTTTCAGCCTACATCAACCACTGCATCGAGGACGTCAGCACAACAAAGACCATCACCACCCGAGCCAACCAACGGCCCTGGATGACTGAGGAGGTCCGCCACGCGCTAAAAGCACGGAACTCAGCCTTCAAGTCTGGTGACAAGGAGGCACTGAGGACAGCTAGAGCCACCCTGAACCGTGCCATCAGGTTAGCAAAGCGGAACCATAACCAGAAAATCCAGCATCTGTTCCACGACGCCAACAACACCAGGAGCATGTGGCAAGGCATACGGGCGATCACAGACTACAACACGCCCCCTGCCCCGGTGGATGAAGTTGATGCTGACTTCCTAAACGGACTAAATAACTTCTTTGGGAGGTTTGAGGCACTAAATCGCACTCCAGCAGTGAAGGCTGTCCCACATCAGGAAGAGGAGGTTCTCTGCCTTGACACAGCCGACGTGTGGAAGACTCTGAGGAGGGTCAACCCGCGGAAGGCCCCAGGTCCCGACAACATACCTGGGCGGGTGCTCAAGGAGTGTGCAGGTCAGCTAGCTGGTGTCCTCACGGACATTTTTAACACCTCGCTGGAGCAAGCCACAGTGCCAGCATGCTTCAAGTCTGCCTCCATCATCCCAGTGCCAAAGAAACCTCAAGTCACCTGCTACAACGACTACCGGCCCGTCGCACTGACTCCCATCATGATGAAGTGCTTTGAAAGGCTGGTAAAGGAACACATCGTCTCCAGTCTCCCCCCAACACTCGACCCGTTCCAGTTTGCCTACCGGCGAAACCGCTCCACTGAGGACGCCATCTCCTCTGCTCTTCACCTGAGCCTGGCCCACCTGGAGGAGAAGAACACCCACGTGCGGATGCTGTTCCTGGACTTCAGTTCAGCGTTTAACACCATCATCCCACAGCACCTGGTGGGAAAGCTGGAACATCTGGGCTTCAACACACCCCTTCGAAACTGGCTGCTGGACTTCCTCACCAACAGACCTCAGTCGGTCCGGGTCGGTCAGAACACCTCTGATGTCATCACCCTCAGCACGGGCTCCCCTCAGGGCTGCGTCCTGAGCCCCCTGCTGTTCACCCTGATGACATATGACTGCGTCCCCAGGTTCACCACCAATCACATCGTGAAGTTTGCGGACGACACCACAGTGGTGGGCCTCATCAGGGACGACAACGACCGGGACTACAGAGAGGAGGTGGAGCAGCTGGTGGACTGGTGCAGTGAAAACAGTCTGATCCTGAACGTGGAGAAGACGAAGGAGATCATCGTCGACTTCAGGAAAAACCGCCCCCACCATGCTCCACTGCTCATCAACAGCTCAGCTGTGGAGGTGGTCAGCAGCACAAAGTTCCTGGGGGTGCACATCACGGACAACCTCACCTGGACTGTAAACACTTCATCTCTAGTGAAGAGGGCACAGAAGCGCTTGTACTTTCTGCGGAGGATGAGGAGAGCCCGCCTGCCCCCGCCCATCCTCACAACCTTCTACAGAAGCACCATAGAGAGCGTTCTGACCAGCTGTCTCTCTCTGTGGTGTGGAGGCTGCAGAGCTTCTGACTGGAAGAATGTGAGGAGGGTGGTGAGGACAGCGGAAGGAATCATTGGGGCTCCTCTTCCCTCCATTAAGGACATTTCATCACAGCGCTGTGTGTCCCGAGCCCGTAATATCATCAAAGACCCCTCACACCCCCACCATGGACTGTTCTCCCTGCTGCCCTCTGGAAAGAGGTTCCGCAGCATCCGCTGCAGATCCACCAGGTTGTGCAACAGCTTCTTCCCCACTGCCATCAGACTGTTGAACCTTTGATCCACAATCCGAACTCTGCACCTATTGCACATTATCGGGCATCAAATGCTGCTGAACTTTTAACTTTTAGCCCTTTAAATTGTTCATCTCATTGTATTTTTCAATAACGCATTTTTTGCACAAATGCCATTTTGCACTGAACCACTGCAACTTGCACACTGTCTCTTATCCTCTGCACTGTTCACACTTTGACCACTGCTGCACTTTTTGTATTTTTCTATAACTCGTGCCATTTGAAATATCAATGCAACGTTCATAAGCTGTATGTAACGCAATTTCGTTCTGTATGCACCCTGTGCATACAAAATGACAAATAAAGAAGTCTAAGTCTAAGTCTAAGTTAGGCAGGTGAATAAAGTGAACAATTAGGTCAGATATCAGACCGGGGAACATGACTTTAGTGACTAGAGTAGAAATCCTTTATTGGGTAACCACTTAAAAATCAGTGAGGTCCAAATACAGAAAATCATCAACCAGTAAAGGTCCGGAGACATTTTTAATTATAATCTGTTACTTTAAACTGAATTTAACACTGAAATAAAATGATGTGTTTATGCATCCGTGTTATACATTGACTTTTTAAACAAAAAATATTTTAAAAAATAGAAAATTTTCCATTTTAAAATCTAAAGTGTTTTTTGAAGTAGAGAACAACAAATGGTTCAGTTTGGTATATAGACAATTTGCTGATTCGCATATTTTATAAAACAGCTAAACTGACCAGTTGTTATTTTTCTTTCTTTTTTCTGTCTTAATGTTGGCAGTGGGCTTTAGGCTGCCCTGCAAGGCTTTAAACCTGGGTTTAACCGGAGACTAAGCCATTCTCAAGCACATATCAAGGAGCTCATTTTGAGCCTGGATCCAGATTTATTGTTGATTCTGTTCATGGTGGAGAATCCTGCTTCACAGCAGCAGGTTGAGCCAAACATCCTCTAAATGTGCAGGGTCATCTTTGAGCACGCCATTTCACTTTTCTTTCACCAGTTCACCGCAGTTCTTCCAGCAGTCCACACTTTCTCTGCTCTCTTTTTCTCATGGTCTTCTCCTTTCATATCACCCAGCTTGTCAGAGGTTTGCCTGCTGCGTCTAAAAGTGTCTCACAGCAGTAAGCCAAACTGACACAGCTTATTGGCTAATTTGGATCACATGCAGCCTGGTCCTGGAAGCTCCAGAGGGCTTTACCGTATTAACAGGAGTTGGTGCAAATGAAGTTGGACAACATGCAGTAATTTATAAATGTTTTAAATCAGGTTGTGTCCGGATTGCGGTCCGCTAATCCGTGACCTCAGCTTTATACCATTCATGTCAGGCAGCTGTGTAATTATTTTAATGAGCCAGGAAATGACTACCAGAAAATGTGTACTGACTAAACGTTCCCTTGTTTGCAGTGAGAGCAGTTATTCAAAGGCAATAGTTATTTTTAGCTTTAACAACAACTGGAGTTATAGCTGTCAAGCTTGGAAGAAGATCAGAGTTCCCTGTTTTCTTTAAAATGTCACAAAGTTTTCATCGAAAATTTGGTTCATTTTGGGGCAGTAAACCAATACAACAGAGAGATTATTTTTTTATAGCATCCTGATACTCAGACCTGTGATTGGGGTGACGAGTTAGAGGAGACACGCAGGATCCAGGTGGACAAACACTTCCTGCCTTATCTGCCCAATCCTTGTCAAAGGTTGCAGAAAATGACAGCAGCTTGTATAAAACATAACAATCAATAATTATGGGAATAAAGATTTAATTTACTCCTTGTCTAAAATAGATCAAATAAGCTTAGCAGAGTGCTTGCTGTGGTCTAGCATAGTGGGAGCTGCCAGACATCTCAACCAATCAAGTTTAGCCCCGCCCACTCATTACAACCATCTAACGTTCTCTAATGAACGTTTTATTGACTGAACTAGAGACATCAATTTCAATGCTCATTCAGTGTGCTGTAATTAAAAGACAACATTTTTACTTTTATGGCGTTAGTGTTGAAGAAGCTGTATCATCTTTCTCAGTCAGAAGCAGCCAATCAGACATCAGGGTTTCTATGGAAGTGACTCTAGTCCCGCCCACTTTGTTAGATTAGTTTAGTTTAATTGATTTCATGACGATTTTGCTGCACAGATTCATTATAAATCATGAAATGTACATTTAAATGAATTTATTTAACAAAGATGACATTTAGCTAGTTATTGTCATCATTTTTTATTTACTTGTTCATTTTATAATTTAACGGTACATTTAAGTGTTTAATGGATTAAGATGTTTGTTATTATTTTATTTTACCTTTAATTATTTGATGGTACATGTATTTATTGCATGGGTCATGTAATGAAACATTTAATTATGTTCAAAATAAATTATTTAGTGGAACATTTAATGAGGCATTTATTGATTTTGGTTTATTTTATTAGTTTATGATACATATATATATTCATTTTGTCACCTTTAATCTTCCATAAGAGGTAAATTTGTGCTTGATGTTTATTAGAAGCTTAATGGCTGTAGTATATTTTTATGTTAATGTAAATTTTAAAAGAGTAAAGTATTTTTTCATAAAGAAGCTGCACCCCTCACCACCCGTCTCCGTCCTCCCCAGGTGGTGGCCATCGTCATGGACCTCCTAACGGACCTGCAGATCCTCCAGGACCTGCTGGATGCCTCGTCCCGCCGCGGGGTGGCTGTTTACGTTGTGTTGGAGGCCAGGGGAGTTCCCCACTTCCTGGATATGTGCTCTCGGTTGCAGATTAATGGCATGCATCTGCGGGTGAGCAAACAAAGCATGACTAAGCAGCACAGAGAGAGGAGGCTGTCTTAACACGCAGTGCTTTACCAGAAAATATCTTACTGCATTTATCGTGGATTAGAAAGATCGCTGGGATGTTTTTAAGGGAAAGTCGTGGACTAAGTTCAGACATGATTAGAAGAGCTCAGAGTATTTGTCTTTGACATCTTAAAAGGCTAGATTAAAATTTGAAAAGATGGCATTAATCCCACGCTCTACCTGTTTCAGGTTTATTGTTCAGATATAATCATTTCTTTGTTCTAAAGAAAAGTCACTTTATGAAACTTACAGAAGGGAATAATCAGGTTTCCTGCTCAGTCTGCAAAAGTCTGAAATCTGACATCAGCAGTTTGGGAGCCTGGATAGCGAGGTTCTCATCAGGACTTTTTTATGAACAAGCTCATAAAAACTCTTTAACGAGCTACACCCATATCATCTTTTTTTTCCTAATCAAGCTCATTCCTTTTTTATTTTTTATTTTTAATCTTTTCTCCATCTTGGAGGCGTTGTTAATTTCTCCCACTAATATGTGAAGGAAGGAGACCGATCCAGACATCGGTCTGACAGACCTGCTGCCGTGGTAACGCTGCTACGCACTGTTAGATCAATTTATTTTGTAAAAAAACAAATGCTCTGACCATTGGTCAGTTTGGTCTGACAAACCGGCTGTTTATCCATCCTTCCTTCCTTTCTTCCTTCCTTCCTTCCTTCCTTCCTTCCTTCCTTCCTTCCTTCCTTCCAAGAAACTGCGATACAGTCTCATCAATTAGCAGAGGAATGACTGATTGTTCGAGGTCTTTTTCTTATGATTAATCTGTAATCCAAGCATGTGGTCACAGTTAAGAGACATTTTACCTTTTTAACTGAAACCAACACTGTGGCAGAAACTTGCTTTTTATTAGTGGTCACTTTCTAAGGTAAAATAGAGTTAATGGCAGGAATTGCTCCATCAGCAATGAGACTCAGTGGAGCACAGGGACTGATGCACAAACTATGACAGAGAGAAACAATAGAGTGGACGAGTTAACGGCAGGTTTGATTTACCATCTAGAAAACAAAACTGCAGCTAAAAAGAAGATTAGGAGAACGACAGAGATCAGTTTCAGTAATAGTACTTTCAATGGCAAAGAAAGAAGTACTGTCAACAGCAGCCTTATTTCTAAACTGCTATTTTAGGCTTAATGTTATCTCCCCATAATCCATTTTGGGTTAGCCATAAAGTTTTACAAATATATTTGAGCATTTTTCAGTCTGATTTTAGCACAGCAAGTAAAGGACCCACAGCTGTTGATCTTTTAAGTTTATTTTAAGCAACAGTTTAAATTTTAAGTGAGACAGTGCCAATGAAACAAGACAATTTACATTTAAAAAACAAAGAAAATAACAATCGTATTCTCTTATTTCAAGTGGGTATTATCTAATTTTCTTATTTTAAGAGTAAAGAAAACTCATTCCATTGGCAAATCATCTCATTTACTCAAATCAAGGGTAAATACACTTAATTTAAGAAATTTTTACCCGATTCTAGACTGTTTTTGCATTGTTGTCCCACTTTACTGAGCCAAAGGTATAAACTGAACATAGAACTAAACCAGAACTAAGAGGTCCGGTACTTATTGTTTGAAAAGCTCCTGCATTGTGGGCATGAGGTAAAATGAACTTGTGACCTACTTGGTGTCATAAAGGATCTTCCCTTGGGATCCTTTCTAGATCAGACCCAGCTCATCTTAGAGCTAATCTCATTTAAACAGGTTACATGGTTTAGTTTAGTAAACCAATATATCTTACAGTTAGGTCTAGATTGTATCTATATATAAACTATAAAATAGTTTAATCCAAATCTCTTGTGTCACAATCTACAAGAACTTTCCTCATTTATCCATATTTTATACCCTACATGTTTAACTAGCAGTACACCCTCAGCCCAAGGATAAGGTTGGATTTTATTTCTATTAGAAATAGAATAAAATCATTTGAAGGATGGAAATGGCTTTATGTGCTGCTGTGACCTGTAGTCCTGTCTCAGTGAGTGGTCCAGGGAAACGTTAGGAGGTTCAGCTCTATTATAGATGGATGCGTCAGACCTCGCTGTGAACGCCTCCACAGAACATCCGATACGCTTTAAAAAAAAAAAAAGCTTGGACTTAATGAGAAGATGTAATTTAATATTTGACCTCCCGAATTAAAGCGCGTCATCTGAACAGGCTTAATTATCTCAACAGAGAACTTAGATTCAGGCAAAATGTTATATTTGAGTTTCTAGATGGTAAAACATGTTTGTTTACAGAAGATGAGGTTTTTGTCATGATGCAGTTGAAGGAGCAGCAGTTGACTGAGTCACTGACATCCTATCTCCTCTCGGGAACAATGCGCAGCCTTATCTGCTGCATGCAGAGTTTTATGGCGTAGTGAGACTGGATGAGCTCTCAGTTACACTGTGAAAGGCCTTTTTCAGAGCGCAGAGCTCTGTTACTCTTACTTCTTACAAACGAACCTTCATTGTCCCTGAGAAGTGATGCTGAAAGAGAAACTCGATGCGTCGCCTCCACTGAGGTGTTGACAGGAAAGCCAAGCCTCCTCCCAGTTTGTCCACATGTGACTGAATGAATGTTTAAACCGTTGAGAGGGACGCAGCCAGTTGTGTTTCATTTATGAGGCTGAGTGTGTTTGCTCAGGATCACCTGAGGGATGCGGAGCTGCTGGCAATGTGTAATTAGGAGGGCGTTTCTTTGCAGAACCTTCGTGTGCGGATGGTGAGAGGGGCGGGGCTCGCTCTGTCTTTTGGAAAGCTGCCCGGCTCCTTGACCTCTAAATACATGCTGGTCGACGGGGAGAAAGTCATGTTTGGGTCCTACAGGTAAATGAGCCTATTGGGCATTGCTAAACATTTTTGCAGTTTATTAAAAAAGAATATTCATTGATCTTTTCATGGCTATTTTTCTGCCAACCTCTAGCTTCACGTGGAGTTCATCCCGGCTGGACAGGAGCACAGTTACTGTAATGACTGGCCAAATTGTGGACTTCTTCGACAGTGACTTCCGGGAGATGTACGCGGTGTCTGAACAGGTGGACCTCTACAAGGAGTTCAGCATAACCAAACCTCCTCTTCCTACACCCATCCTAAAGCCAAAGGTGGAGCACATTCGGCCTTTGCCTGTCTCCATGTCTCGCTTTCAGGTATCAGTCGGCGATTCGAGACAAACTGACCTAAAGGTACCTGCACATAAGTACCACAATCCCAAGTACTCCCTAGTTTTTGGGAACAGTTTAGGCCTGACAGGTTCTTTACAGGACCTGTCCACTCAGAAAGATTTACTGGTTGGTGGGATGAATCAGAGAAACGGGCTGCAGAACAGCTTCCTTCATACCAGCAAGGACAAGACGGACAGAGTCACCTCACCAAGTCCATCTTCAACCACAGAGCAAGAGGATAAGGAAGGAAAGGGGAGTCTGAAGAAGAATGAAGGGACTAGTGTAAAGAAGCCACGCAGTTCCTTCAGGCACTTTTTGAAAGGCAGAGGAGCCAATCAGAACACAGAGACTATAGAGGAAGGCGTGGTCACCCCTCAGAGCCCCGCCGCCACCTCTCAAGAACCAGAGACTAACGGTGTGATTGGAAATGAACTGGAGGACTCGTTTGAAATCCTGGATAAACCAGGACCTCTGAAACTCAAAACCAAGAAACCGTCAAAGCACATCCAGAGGAGCGTGTCTCTGCAGACCATCAACACCGGAGATGAAGATGGTATGCGGTCATATTTCATTTCCTTTTTATGTCTTCAGTGAATTTTTTAACAATGGACATATTAATCATAATCATCCATGATTCAAACTAATTTATTTAAAAGAGCTTAAACAAATGAAGTGGAATTTGAATTCATCTTATTTATAAAGAACCACTGTACAACACGTCATCTTAAACACCTTAAAGATCAGTCAGTTCATCCAGTCAGACTGGTTGAAAGTTCTTTAAGGAAAACCAGCTGATTGTAGCCAGTCATTTCCTTGCATTGTGTGGTTGACTTTGCAGCAATCCCTTACATCAAGCATGCATGCAGTGACAGTAAAGAGGAAAGTGTGAATAGAACTAAGTTGGCCTTTTGCAAAGGCCAACTGGAGGTTGAAGGAGACAGAAGCACTGATACATAAACACTTTTTATGTTAGAAAAGGTAACGATAAACTAGCTCAGTAGGTGGTACAGTCTAGGAAGGGAGGAGTTAAGAAGATGAGCTAGGATTTGGTTTTTATGTCAAAATCCATGAAGTCGAGCACATACAGTTAAAGCCAGAACACAACAAATCTGATTTTGCGTCCAATCCAACAGAAAATCGTGTCTTACGAGGTCATGGAGGTTAGCGCTCATTGACAGTCAATGAGGATGGTCACACCTGACAAGATTTTAAGTGAGGGTTCTGCAAAGATCTCACTAAGATAGACCATAGGTCTATTTAAGTTGGACTATACAGCAATTCAGTGATAATTTAATGGCCTGATAGGAAGAGAGAAATGGTTATAAAGTAAAACGGGGGGCGACAGTGGCGTTGGATGTAGGAGTTTGCCCTGAAATCGAAGGGTTGACGGTTCAAGCCCCGACTCCGACTTTCAGTGTGTCCTTGGGCAAGACACTTCACCTGCATTGTCTACTGATGGTGGTCAGAGGGCCCGGTGGCGCCAGCGTACGGCAGCCCTGCTTCTGTCAGTGAGCCCCAGGGCAGCTGTGGCTACAATGTAGCTTGCCACCATCAGTGTGTGCGTGAATGGGTGAATGAATGTAGTGGAAAGCGCTTTGGTCAAGTTACCTGACTTGAATAAAGGTGCTATATAAGTACATGCCATTTACCATTTAAAACACATCCGCTTAGGGAGGAAATACAAAATATAAGCTGTAAATCGGACGAGGAAAGTCAGTTTTGGAGTCTCACATTGCTAATATAGTAAGCAGGACAGACTCGTGCAAAAACAATGAATAAAACATTAACTAAATATCACTAAATCAGTATTTATAGGTGCATAATTCTGCTTCTCATTGTTGGTTTAACCCTCTCCTAGATTTATTGGCTAAGTTACCAAATGCACGTGCTTTACTTCATCCTGCTGATATAAGAACTGGCTCAGCTCAGTTCTCTTTAGGAACAAGTTACTGTAAGAACTACAGTCTTCCATGTGGAAAAAAGAAATACTGTTGGCCCAGTTATTTTCTGTGGGGTTTTTTTTGTGTCTATGTCATCCTCTCAAATCTTCAGCCTGTCATGACAGACAGAAACTGAGCCTGGTTCTGATTCCGCTAGTTTCTTCCTGTTAAAGGGGAGTTTTCCCGTGTTGCCACATGCATGCTTGGTATGAGGCATTGCTGCAAAGTCAGCGAAACAAAGCCAGCAACTTTGCTCCTCTAAGAGTGAATTCTACAACAGCAAGCATAGATTTGAAATCTGATTAGTTTGAAATTCCCTTTATGATCAATTGCCGGTCACAGGGTGCTGTGAATCGGTTGTTTTAGCCTGTGGACGGAGATGCTGAATGATTATTTTGCTTCTTTTTGTTTCTTCAGGTTTAAAAAGCCGCCGGCGGCATCAGAAGAAGAACTGCATTCAGTCTTGAGAAGAAAATCAGCCTTGCATGCAGACTGAATCTCCTGGTGCAGCAGCTGAGTCACAGCATGATTTAACTGTTACCAGGTGGAAACCACTTTATCAGCAGCAGGTGCTGAAAATGTTACTGAACTAAAGGTCAGCTAGAGATTCTTAGTAGCCAAAAAAGTGCCGTCAATGGCAGCTTGCCATCTGACACTTTTCTTGTTTTTTTCTACATTTTGTATTAAATTATTTGACTATTCAGTGTTTTACTTAGTGTTTCACTTTAGCCTGAACAGCACATGGTGTATTACATCAAACTGGTTGCTATGGTGACTGGACAATTGATGGCTGTCTCTTCTCTTTTGGTTACAAAGTGTGTTGTACACACAAATGTACAAATTAAATGATGTCAGTCCTCAACAATTACAACTCTGATGTTGAACTTAAATAAAAAACAACGGCATCAGTAAAATGATGACCCAGGGAGCAAATATGTTTCTCACAGGAGATCAGGAGACAATCAGCAATAATTGTTCTCTCTGTCTGTATGGGACGAATAAAAATCTTTGAATAAAATGTTTAGCATAAGTGTGAAGAATTTAAACATTGAATGGATTTCTTTTAACTGAAGTTTTTTCTTGTTTTTGTGATTTTTACGGACCCTAATAAATCAATTCAATTATCTTTATTAATAAGGTGCCAATTTACAACACACATTGTTTCTCTTTATCAGTTTCAATCTAAGGGAAACTAGCTGATTGTTGACGCAATCCTGGATGATCATGTGGCCAAACGGCATCAGTTTGTCAATGAAAACTTTTTTAGTTGCATACATTAGGGATGCACGATATAATCGGCCCCCTATCGGTATCGGCCTTAAAATGAATATCAGACATCGGCCCCCCCCACCGATATTTAACCCGATATTTGATCAGCTTCTGAGTTTCTAAAGTCTAAGAAAAAAATAAATACTACTTCTTCTTCTTCCTCAAAAACATCTTTTTTTACAGACTTAAAAACTTCTAAAGACGAGAGGAAAAAATATTGATCCATTAAAATATCCCAATATCTTCATATGCTGATAAATTGCCATTTAAAAACACCATATCAATCTCTTTTACTAATGAAATATTGCTATATGTCATCGTTATGCTACGAAATCCCCCGAAAATTCACCAAATGTTGCCATATTTTTATATGTTGATATATTGACGCGGTATCGATCTATTTTACTAACAAAATCTCACAAGAATTTGCAAAATATCACGAGAGTTTGTAACAGAACGATGAAATTTCACGAGATTTTGAAAGTAAAATAGATCGATACCGCGTTTTTAAAAATCAATTTGATATCAGCATATGAAAATATATTTGAGTATATTATTTTTCAAAGTGTCAGAAATGGATAACAAAACTGCTATTTTCAATGACTACTTATTTTTGTCCAGCTTTAACATCGATATCGGTTATCGGCTACATGAGTTTTAAAATATCGGATATCGGCCGAAATCCCAATATCGTGCATCCCTAGCATACATCACTGTTTTATAGTGTTTACCCGCCATAAAGTCTGTTTTACATTTGATTGTTTTGAGTCATTAAGCAAAATTGTATCTTAGCGAGAGACCACTGGGGGTAGCTGCTTTCAAATTATGAGAGCTTTCCAAACTAACCAGGCCCTACCGTTGTTAAACTATGAATTTTATCTGATAGGGCAGAGAAAGAAAAGAAGCAAAGACCTCAGTATGAGGTGAGAGCTTATTGACGACTGCTTTAATTCCTGGTAGTTTTAGGTGCTCTTTTGCACTATTACTGCTCTTTTGAGCAGGTTTGGGCTTTTTGAGACTTTTGGGCAGGTTGTTCATTGTTGAAACATTTCTTCTCTCATCATTTCTGCAGGACGAAACAAAACAGCCAGAAGAGTTACTCATCTTTCTTGGACGCTTTAATCAGCGGTCTCAAACCAGTTCCAGAAACCTGCAGCCACACGACCCTTTCTGGAACCGGTTTGAGTCCCCTGCAACTGCTGTTTACCTCAATCTGTATGTTTCTTTTTAATTGGCATGCCAGTTACCAATTTCAGCTCCAGGTTCTGATACAATTTTATGTGTTCATAACCAAAAATCACCATTTTGGGAGCTCTATAATATTGGATGGCTGTTAAAGGGAAACTGAACCAAGGATGTAAAGAAAATTCTACCTAAATCTCTTCATAACTGATATAGACCGATTAAAGTAGGAACTACTGTCAGGTTTAGCTGTTAGTGCAGATTATTTTACTCAGACTCGTCATCTTCTTATCCAGGACCAGGTCACAGGTTATGCAATCTCACTAAAGATTCTCTGACTTCCCTCCTACTATAAATCTCCTCCATCTCCTCTGAGTGAACCCTTAGTTGCTCCCAGGCCAGCTGAGAGACATGGGGACGCGTCCAGGGGGCATCTGGAACAGTTGCCACCTCAGCGGATTCCTCTCGATGTGGAGGTGAAGCAGCTCTACTCACAGCCTCTCTCAGATAACAAGCTCCTTCACTAACTGCTGCGCCATCATTCTGACGGGGTCTTGGCTGTGTCCAGCAGTAGCCGATGGTGCTGGGCCTGGGGGGGGCTGATGCTGAAACAAAGAACTCTCCATTAATGGAGGCTCCTCTGAGACTGTTCCCAGGCAATCTTCAGCATCTAGAGGGGAAGCAGAGCCCTCTGCAGGTGAAAACGAGGAGAGCGCTCTAGATGCTTCCCTGCCAAATGCTGAAACATCCCCAGCTGACTCCCCCCGGCTGGGGATGCAAAACCTGCCGATGGCACTACTGCTGCTTCAACCACGTCCGCCTCTTCAACCGAGGGGGCTACCACCCTCACAGGTTCATCATCGTCCTCTTCCTCCCCTTGGCCAGGAGAAGCGAGTGCTTCAGGAGCTGGAGGCAGTAGTAGCAGCTCAACAACAACTGCTGCTTACCTCATCAAGGCTGCACTTTAAAAAATGCAAAATGACAAAAATAAGTCTAAGTCTTCACTCCTCCTCTTGAGGCAGCAACTCTCCTCTGACCTGAAGAAGGCAAGCCATGTTTTTCTTGTCACGAATCACAACCTCTGATTTGGAGCTCGACACGTACTGAGAACAGGTCCCACTTAATGCAGACCAAACTCTGCAGTGATGTTGCCTGGTAGAGAGCATCGTCTTCATACTCCTGAAGAACCCTCTACTGTGGATAAAGCTGGTCCAGTTTAAAAATATTATTTGTTCAATAAATGCATCTTTTAAGTTTGATTGCCCTAACAATAGAACCTGACATGATAGTGTTTGTCTTTTTATTTTGTGTAGCTATATAACAGAAACATAAGAGGGTGAGTGTGGCCTACTGGTTAGAGGTTCTAAATTGAAGCCCCACTCCCACAGACTGCCACTCTGGCTCCCTGAGCAAGACCCTTAACCCCACACTGCACCCCGGGAGCCACACAATGCCAGCCCTCTGCTCCCCAAGGGCATGGGCTAAATGCAGAGAGTGAATTTTGTTGCTCTGTACTTGTAACAGTGTAAAGACAATAAATAAAAAGCTGAAAATAAGATATAATATAGAGGTGTTTCCCTTTTAGCACCGAAGTTGCATCAACATGTTTTTTTTTGTTTTTTGTTTTTAGCTTTACAGCAGAAACAAATCAGGATTGTCCTTTAAAGTCCGTGAGGGGAAAAAAACATTAAGAAGCAGGGTCCAAGAGGACAGCAGTCGGTCTATTCATCTGCACTTGATCCAAGCTACAAAGTCCTTTGGAAAACATGTTGCAATACCTAGAAATATGTGCAGAGTATTTTTGTTTTCTTTTATCGAAAAGATTCTAAAGACCGAGATAAGAAAAGAATCAAACATTAAATCTGTCAGGCAGCAAATATATAAAAGCTGCAAGATTTGAAGGTGAAGAAAATAAATGCTGTGATTATCAGAGCAGTGAAGTGGTCTTATATTTGCTGGGGTGTGTTCTTCTACTACTTATCCTTCAGATCACTTTCCCAGTAAATATTACTTGGTTCATCTCAGTAAGTTTAACTTCTCAGTTTGAAAGTCCTGATTCAAGTGAAAGGAGATGTGGCGCCATCTAGTGGTGAGAAATCAACTGCAGAAGCTTTAAACAATATACTTTATTACATTACACATTAGAGATAAAAACAATAAACTGTACATTCATTCAAAGATCTATAAATTAAACACGTTAAGAAAAATATAAAGCACAACTTTTGTTTAGCTTCTAAAGTTTATAAATCTTACAATTTTTTTACATTTACATAAAAAAAATGCTACACTTCCCTGACTGAATAAATTAGATGTTGTTTTTTTACACTTGACAATAAAAGGAAATCCCTGGTGTTTGTCTTGTAGGAGGCCATCTTTTCAAATATGTCTGGATGGATGTTACTTCTGTGTCCATTCTCTCCCCCAACACAAACACACCCACACACTCATTCTGCTATATGTAGTGAGGACTATATGTTGACTCCCATTGATTTTTAATTCATTTACAACCTTTTCTATGCCCTGACCTTGAAGCTAACCCTAAACCTAACCATTACCAATGCATACCTCACCTTAACCCTATCACAATTGACACTTTAGCCCTAAAACTAACCATTAGCCAAATAGCTTGTGAGGACCAGCAAAATGTCCTCAACTGGCCCTCGATTCGATGGTGAAATAAAAAAAAAATGGTCCTCACTCTGTGGGCTAGACAGGTGCACACAGACCCACACACACACACACACACACACACTCATACATACATTTACTACATTTTGCTCTTATTCTGGGAGTTTTCTATGACTCTTGGCACTTTATCCCACATGTTGCATATCTTCTTTGTAGTTATTGAGCTTCATTATTTGTACTTTCTGTTCTAAACTTTAGTAATTTCTCATCTATACAATATTTACGCATCTTTTTTTTACTACTGTGTTCATTTTTTCCCCCCATCTACTTCTATGCAGATGATATGCTGCTATATTTATTTTAAATCCCTTTGTGGTTGTTCTACGTCTTCTTTTGCGTAATTTGTTTCTTGCTTAGGAAACAAAGGATTTTTCAGTTTTAAGGTGGAATTTCAGGATGTGTTTGTCTCATTGCAGCCATGCATTCTTTTGAGATCCATCTTTCAGTGCCTCTTCTAGTTATTCAGCTCCTACTTCTGGCCGTTCTGCATTCTATCTTTGTTGTTGCTTTGTGTCAGTTGCTTCACTGTTCATCTTTAATGAGCCCAGTTTAATGAAACACTGCTAATGCTGTCAAGCCTGTAACTCTACTTCCGCCCTACTTCCAAGTATTGTCAGTTTTTGAAGATGAAGCTGCCATACTTGCATTTTCATAGAAATGATATAAACCCGTTTGCACTGCGAGTCAAATTCAGTTCACTTTTCCTTTGTTTGCCAACTCAAGTGCGACTTGCAAAGTCATCCATTTCCTTAAACGCTGCATGGTGAACTTGTTGACGATTGTGTTGCTTTATCGTGCACGACCCTCCGCTGTCTGCAGTTTCACTCCTACGAGGAAGTGTTGCTGATAAGCTTCCTCTTCCGCATCATAACCAGGTCGTAAAACGGATCCTTGGTGATGCTCGCCCTGGGGAAAAAAAACAGTTGGATTAATTTATTTGTATTTTATTTCTTTCTTTCTTTTTTTTTTTTTTTTAGAACTTTTTATTTTTAAAAACTTTTCACCTGAGACTTTGAATACCTTACAAGAGAGAACTGCACATATATAATACCATGTGTACATATACATACACACAAACCCACACCCCTCCCCCTCCCCTCCAGGGTGCTTACCCACAGGCCAAAAATACAACATACAGTAAACAAACAGCAAAAAATTATATATATAACATATACCCACCTACATGTATACATACACATACATATACATATTCAAGTACATACCTTAGTAATACCGATGACGGAGCAGATTGCGATCCATTAGAATCACTACAGCCCAAAATCACACACCCAAATATAATTTAAACCAAATGCCATCTTTGATTGAACTTGTTTGTATTTTATTTTAATTAGATGAATTATTCTACCCTAAAGTATGGATCTATTTCTGAGTCATTTAGTAGTGTTGCTCCAATGCCATTTTTTGGCCCTGATACCGATACCGTCTGTTTGAAATTGATGTGTGTGTGTATATATGAAGAACTGCAAACTACCTGGATGTAAAATAATTGCCATCATGGCTTCATGTCAAGCTGCTGCCTGCCTTTGTGAAACAGGAAGAAGACTAATTTAAAGTGAATCCAGTAGAACTTTTTATTGCCTACCTGGAATGGATGACAATAGTTGAATAAACTTTTGGCTCTCAAAATGGTATCGGTGCCCTATTGGTTGGTACTCACTAATACTGATACCACCATTTTAGTGCTGGATCTGTGCAACGCTATCATTTAGACGTAGATATTACAGTTTTTTTGTCCTGCTGTATCACCAAAGTTAGCTTAAAGTTTCAAGTCAAGAAAGAATGAACAAACTTTATTGTCAGGATTTCTAACTCAGTATCTACTCCTGTGAGATTCCTCGGGCCCAGATCACCACACTACCACCACCGTGTTTTAGTGCTATGATAATTATTATGTAATTATTCCTAATTATTGTTAGTAATCAATAGTAACTCTATTCTGTGACACCTTTCTTTAAATGTAAAATCATTCTCATCTGTTCTTGATTTCTCTAGTTCAGGGTTTTTTTGCCTACTTCATGCTGTCTGTCAGATCCTATTGCAATGATTTCCAGATTCAGCATAAGTGAGAATAATCAGGCATGGATAAGGCTTAATTAACCAAAAGGTGTGGCTTCATGCAGTTCATTCATAATTTAATAACTTTTCCACACAATTTCCAATAAACAAACTCAAACTATCTATGTTTGATTTGGAAATAAACTAAAATCCCTGAATAAAAAAGCAAAGCCAGGTGTAATTTGAAAGGGAGTAATGAGTTTTGACAGCGTTGTCTGTTTTCCACGGTAATAGCAAACAGGACCAGAGAGGCTCTCACCTGATGGCATCTATCCAGTCGTCCCTTTCCTCTTCGCTGGCTGCATTCAGCTTATAAGACTGGTGTTTACCCTGCACCACTCTGCCTTTGTTCTCCGTCTTGCAGGCCTTGATCTTCTGTCCTTTGGCGTTATATAACTCCAGACAATACTGTTAAAAAGAGGCATATGTTTTCTGTTTACTTGACAGCCGTCTGACTCAGCGTTTGGAGAACTTGCGTGAGAAATCTAGCAGCTATTGTGTGCATCAGCACAATCTGTGACAGCAGATAGTTAAGGTGCGAAACTGAGAGAGTCTCTACCGGTTTGCTGGAATCTTGCAGCTTCCTGACGCAAAGATTCTCCAGAGGGATGATCCCGATCGGGTCTTTATCCTGCAGGACAAAACAGGTGTAAGACAAAGGAAGAGGAGGGTTTTTGATGCTGCTGTCTTTTTTTTATTTTTTGCCTCATGGGGGAAAATAAATTTACCGTGGTGTACTGGAAGTAGTACAGACAGCTGTCTGTCAAAATGAACCAACGTCTCTTCCACGTTTTTATACGTCCACCTTGGATGAAAACAAAGAGGAGTTTGAAACAGACTGAAGCAGGAAGGAGTTTGAACCACTCTGTTTGCTGCAGGGTAACTTTAGCATCTCACCCATTTTGAGGAGCCAGCCCTCTCGGTCCGGGTTGAAGAACGTCAGCGTGAGGTCGTTCCCATCGTCCTCTGGGATCTTGAAGGGCTCGCTGCGGATGCTTGCATACAGTTTCTGGGGAGGAAACAGGAAGTGGGTTAAACTCTCGGTACCTTAAAGCCTCATTTTGGTACAAATTGAGTTTCATCCTTTAACCACAACACTTCATCTCTGTTATTAGTACGACACAAAGGGGAGACTGCAGACGGTTGAAACCTTTTTCTCTTTGAAGCTATTTAGCCTATGGGAATTATTTATTTATATACTAAACTTAAAGCTGACTGCTAATTGCTCAGAACATGATGACCAAGGAACAGGAAAAAAAACAACTTTGCAAACATCCTCCTACCTGGGACAGTAGTAACACGTCATAAATTCATTAAATACACTAACCCTATAACGAAAAAATGTTTTGTTTATTCATTTATTTTCCCCTTAACTTGCCTGTTGTGTCTGCATTATATATGTTGTATTAATTTATTATTCACTTTTTTTTGTTTTTTGCGAAACAACAATAAAAAAAATTGTGAATTTAAAAGTGAATTAATAAATAAACTGTGACCTTGGGCTCTCTTAAAAGTGCACTGACACAATCCCAACCTAACACAGCAAATGCAACATTTTAAGATAGTTATGACATCCGAAAAGCCAGTTTTGAAAATATAAAAAGAAAAAAAAATTATTAAACTTTTCTTTTTTTTTAAATGATATATATTCTAATGGATGCCTAAATGATAATAATCTAACAGCCCTCCGTCCCTCATCAGTTAGATCCGCATTTGTGACATCAATGTCTCCAGGACTTCCCATCAGGCAGTGAAGCGTCACGCTTTATTCTGAAAATCGGAGGACCGCTGTCATTGCTTTCCTAAGCTGGAAAGCTATGAAAAAAACACTGTATTTGATATAATTCAACAATAATCTAATAATCCCAAAGAGAAATTAGGGGAAAACCACAAAAGGAAACGGATTGCTATCATTAGCATATGCCAACCATATAATTTAAACTAAGCAGTGATTCAATCCTAATATGTCATAATTATTTAATACAAACTTTTGGGACAGTTCAAAAAATATTCATCCTTTGATCTTTAACAATATTCCGTCTATATTGTTTATTCATACATGGTGAAGTAATTATATTTATTTTAAAATGAATGTATTTCTTTCATTTTAATTATTTGATAAATAATTGTAAAGGTTTTTAATGATCTAGTGGAACATTTAAACATTTAATTGTGCATTTAAAAATATAATGGTATATTTCATATTTTTATTGTGATTACAAAACTAAATTAATAAGTTTTACATTTATTTATTTCACAGTGCAGTGATATTTATGTATTTTATGATATATTTTGGCAGTCAGTATACCTAAGGAATCCCATTACAATAATTGTGAAAGCCATCTTGTGGGGGTCAGGAGCCCCCGGTGTTCTCGACCCCCAGCCTGGGAACCTCTGATCTAGAAAATAAAAACTATGATTCTCTCCATAAGGCTGAAGCTTTAGGAGAACCTGTTCTACAGGATCCTGGTTGGTTCCTGGGTAGACCCACCCATAGGTCCAGGCTAATGAAAAACATCCCCACAGCATGATACTTGCACCACCATGTTTCAGGGTTGGAAAGATGTGTGCTCAGTGTTTTTCTCCACACATTTAGCATTTAGTTTAATTTGCTCTTTTTCATTATGGTTGAACTTTTCTTTTTTTCAAAACTATTTGATTCTGATGGAGCCATAAAAGAATCCAAACCAGCTGACCGAGAGCAGTTCGAAGGGCAGCTCTTTGTCGTTGTTGATGCCTCTGTTCATGGCCACGAACCGCTGCAGGCTGGGCTTGTCTTTCACGTTGGGGTTGTGCAGACTCGTGTTGAGCATGATGATGGAAAAAGACAGGATGTAGCAGGTGTCTGCAACAGAAAACCACAACTTAGCTTCCCCTCAGCTGGGCTTTGTTGTCTCTGCCTCAGCTGCGGAGCCGAGCTGGTCCATTAAAAATAATGGCTTTCTGCAAATGCAGCAAGAGGCAGAGGAGTTTTGGAGAAGAATCAATTAGCTCAGATTGGAGAAGGGGGGATGAGTCATTTTTCTGCAGTTCAGTGTGCTGTTTTCTTTCTTGTAAAGAAGATAAAATCAAAGCAGCTGTAATCTTTTTTAACTGGACACCATTAACCGGCCTCTTACCTGTGGATTGGAAGACCCCTGGGTTGCAGTCGCAGTAGCGAGTTGCAAAAGCCTCCATCATCCTGTCAATCTTCTGGGCTTCACCTGGGAGGCGAAAGCTCCACAGAAACTGCCTGTTTTAGAGAACAGATTTTTAAAAAGGGGGAAAAGAAAAACAAATCCTGGTAAAAATACAGATTTATTGCAGCTTTTGCTTAAAATCAACAGACTAAAGATAAAACAAAACATCTCAGCCTGGATTTGACGAACCTCAGTGCCTGGACTAGATTCAAGTCGGAGAACTCATGCAGGCCCACAAACTCCTTCAGAATCTCTAGATGCATTTCCTCCCTGCGCAACATTTAAGAAAGAGATTAGATCAGAAGGACATTGAAAATACAGCAAAAAAACTCTTAATAGCTTAAAATCTGACAACTTTAAAAAGAGAGAAGCGAATTTAAGGAAATTAATGACAGTACTTCCAATTTAGAATAATGACAAGCGGGACTAAATCCTACTGAAGTAACTCCGCCCATTTTTTGCTCCTGTCCCAAAGGTGGACACAAGCTGTCCTTCTATTTTCCCTTCAAAGGTATAGTGGAGGATGTTCCTTTTCCAGGTGGATCATCTAAATAAGTGGACCTCCTAATTGTCAATCAGTCTGGTGATATGTTTAAGTGAGGTCGTCACCACTTTTTTTTTTTTTGCACACACGCACTTTCAGGCGTATATTTGTCTTAAGAGAAAAAGTATCTATGAAGCGTATGACAAGAAGACAAAGGCCTCAGAAGAGAGAAACATTACAAGAGTGTTTTTGGGAGATTCTTTCACGCGATGATACACTGAAAGCACAGGTCCAGCTTCCCACTGAAGTTTCTACTCGACGGGTAAAGTTTGGCTATTTGGAGAAATCCATTTCACATCGCTGCTAGTAAAGCGAGGATGGCTCGTTGGGCTCGTGCACGCTCTCTCACACGGTGAATAGGCGTTCCCTCTCTGGAGCGGGTACAGGGTTCTGTATGTGCATTTTTATTAAGTAGTGAGGGCGGCTGTTTAAAAAAATCCTCCACTATACCTTTAAGTTCCTACGGGTTTGTACAACTAAGTCAAATAGAGATATACCAAAACCAATTGCATAACAATAACAATAATACACAGAAAATATCTGACTTATTTGTCCAGAAAAGATTCATATAAAATCTAAGAAGTTGGTTGTTACCAACAAAGCAAATAAAAATATTCTTTTGTCAAAAAAAAAAAAAAGCTTAAAATCTGACAGTTTAAGCAGGGAGTTTCATTTTTTCATTTAAATTATTATTTTCTTTCTTTAATTATATTAAAATTGAGTTTCAGTTTTTTATTTGTTTATGTATTCATTCATTTATTTATCTAACATATACTGTTTGCTGATAGAGCACTGAGGGTAAATGTCTTGGTGATTGATGACTTTTATTCATTTATCAGTTCATACTTTGGTTTATTATTGCAATCTTGATATTAATATGTATTTATTTATTGTAGATAATTCATGTTTTTGTTTCTTTTACTGTTATTAAATTTAAAATGTGTTTCACTTGAATCTTATTTCATTTAGAGTAACTTCTGACAACCAGGCAGTTTTTTTCCTTATTTTTTCACTTTAGTTTTTCAAATTAAATCCTACATTTTGATCGTCTTGATTGTTTGCTGCTTATCATTTCTCAGCAGATGAGCAGATTTCTGTATTTTAATCTCTTCTTTGTAATCTAGAGAGCTTCCTGTTTTCTCGTCTCTCCTCCAGACTCGCTCTCTGGTTTTTTCCATGTACCTTTCTCCCAGGAAGTTGCCGATGGCGGTCTTATTCAGCCCCTCCTCCTTGTAGAGGAACTCTGCCACCGACTCTGCCCGCCATTCAAGGAAGCCATGTTCAATCAGGTAACAGATACCCTGCAGCAGGAAAACGGATGAGAAAAAGTTTACTTTTACAATCTTTAGACCAGAATGCATGTGTGGGTGTCTATTTATCAGCCAGCTGTTAGCCAGTTATATCTCACATCTGAGAAGGCTTCCTCCTTCACCTTTTGACTCACTGCTGTTATTAGTCAAGCAGTTAAAGTATATGCTTGATTCGGTGCAGTGCTTCAGAACATGACCCTCCACCGTAAGAGTGAACTCATGATGATGGGTTCTCCAAATTAAAGCCACTTAATGACACTCCGTGCAGAGAAGTCGGAGCCTCTCATCCGCCCACCCCTTCTGAGACTCGGCCGCATTGCCAGGGGCCTCGGTTTAATTCGTGAGGCGACGCCTCTGCGTCACTTTAGGGAACAGGATGTGGTTTTTCTCGTTAGTGCTCATGCTCTGCCTATGTGGCTGCACGCTCATTGTTTGCACTTTAACCCCAAACTTCCTTCAAACCTGCATTCAGAGTTTGAGCTGCCACCTTTAGTTCGCTGCAAACCAATGAATCCAAATAAAATCAAACGAGTAAAAACAGAAAATCCATTATTTATGTTTTTTTTAAGGTTGATAAACCAATGCGCTCATTTTTTTATCTGTATTTGTGCCAAAAATGTTAGATTTTGCACAAACCGTCATCCTCCAAACCTAGATCAGGGATTACAGGACGACATGAGGATGAGTCGTATCACAGGAATGTTTTATTCCGTCATGTTATGATCTTTACAGATGATAAATGTGCAGAAAAGAAACTAATGGAAGCTCACCACTTCTGGATCCATGTTGAATTTCTTTTTCCCCCTCAGAAACTTCCTGTTCCTCACATCACTTTTGCTGCAAGCATTGATATAAACAAGTTATTACATGTTTAAAAAAGAGATGTTGTTGCAGTTGCTATAAACATCAGCAGTATGTAAAAATGTATAAATGCAGTAAGTGAAACAGTAGGTATCAGTGTTCATTAGGTGTGTTTTCTAAACTCTGCGCTGCTGTTTTAAACCTCACTGGTTTAAACTCCAATTTCAAGTTAAAAATGATCTCCTTCAGGCGCCGACTGGATCATCAAACTCTTTCGTTTTCTCTGTATTTTGAGGTTTACTTTGTAAGACGGTGGGTGTTGGGTTTTGGTGGAGCGGAAGGACAAACTATGGTAGATGTACAAGTAACGCTTCTAAATGCAGAGTTTACTGACACCCTCTGAGTGCGCGAACAAGAAAGAGGAAGAATAAAATATATGGTTAAAAATACTTTTTTTTTTGCACATTTTCTATGAATTAGTTTGTAAAAACAGGGATTCTTTGTCTTCTTTAATCTACCAACTGTGAAGCCATAAAAGCAAGAACAGATCAGAGGTTTTTCCATGTGTAATGATGTGACTTTAATTAATTTTATACTTAAAAACTCTCGGTTTCATTAAGTGACAGAAAACCAAAGTTATTTCTGTCCATTTCACTCTGGATTTTTTTTGCTGCCTCAGTGCTATTTTTTCTCAGAGGAGATACTGCTGCTTAGTAAAGAAAAGGAAGTGCCTAAAAGCCCTTAATAGTGAATTAAAATAGATGAAGCAGATGCATAGTGAGCAAAGACTGGTTTCATTATCTGATGCAACGAGCTGCTGGGAAAGACAGCCTCTTTGAAACCAGAATGACCAACAGCCGGCAGAATCAGGAGGCATCAAGCAAACCAAAGGCTGAACTGGTGTCAAACTGGTGTCATCCTCACCTGCGCTGCTTCCGGTCAGGGTTGCTGGAGTCAGGTGCATCGCTGGCCATCTCCAGTTTTAGCTTCTTGGAGAAACAGGGAGACGAAGCAGAAATAACACAGGTTTAGTTTTCACATCTCCTAAGTTATTATAAAATGACCCTCCGATCCTTTTATATCACAAAAAAACGATAAGAAATAGACTTTTTTCATGAATATGGAGCAAGATGTGGATGTGTGCTGGAGAATAATGACATGTTTTGATAAAATTTGATGAAAAGATTGATTACCTGAATGTCGTTAAGATTGTAGCTCCTGTCGCTCTGCCTCCTCTCAGCCAGTGGGAGTTTAGGAGGAGCTGTAGGAGCATTAACAGAATGGTGAAGCATTAAATGGATGTTCATCAACCTTCCTCACACCAACACTTGTTCTCAGTGCCCAGCCTGCATCCTAAGCCTCATCATCCAGCAGTTAGACAGCAGGTCAGTGGGAAAGGCTGCAAATAGAAACCTTCCCTAAATGAGGCAGGGAGCAGGAGAACAGTTCATCCTCATTTGATGAGGGACTGAACCAGCATCCAAAAAGTTCAATTAAAATGACAAAATACAGAGAAAAGTTTCCATAACTACATCTGAAAGAGCATCTGTCAAAACTACAACCATCATCACCAGCAGAGAGACCCCAGAAGTGGGGAAAGTATCCTCTACACCGCGTCCGAAATGTATATTTTAAAAGTTTTAAAAAGTTGAAAGCATCACCATACCTCGGCCCCAGAGGAAGCTGTCCTTCCTGCTTATTGCCATGTTGTTATGCAGAGCGACTGGCTGCTGCACAGGAAACAAGCTAAGAAGTCAGAGAGGAAAAGAGGGCAGGCGTTACGCTGAGAGTGCCGCTCTCAGACGTTCTGATGACGTGCAAAAAAACTAAAACGAAAAAAAATCCAGTTTATTCTTTTTGAGGTCCTGCTTAAGAAGCAAATCTTAAACTCTATTTTAAAGCTACAATGAAAAATTTAACAGGAAGTTGCTGGTCATTCCAAAAAAAAAATTAAAACAATCCACTGGACAAGTTTGAAGACGTTTCGGTTCCCATCGAGGAAACTTTTGAATTGAAAAGCTTCCTGGATGGGAAGCGAAACGTCTTCAAACTTGGAAGCAAAGTCCAGTGGATTGTTTTTGCTTCAGCTGATGTAGATTTAAGGTAAAAGAAGGAATCCTGACCTCTGGGTCTTTGTGTTCGTAGTATCAAACATCTATTCCTGTTTTACTCTTTGTTTTATGATTCTTCGCTTCTTCTGGTCCTCCTTTCTCTAATAATTGGTTTATCTAGTTATATCTTTAGTATTTAAGATTTCTGACTGAGTCCCATTTTGTTTTTGTTCACTTTTTTCAATAGTTTCTCCCCTTGCTGCACCACGTTCCACTGATTTCTCTCACCTTTTCCCCTCACCGTTCACTCACCTCCCCAGCTGTTAGAAACCAGTCAGTATTCTAGATTCTTAATGCCCTCTTACCCTCAATGCCAATTGCATATTATCAGCAATAAGAAACCTACTAGAAGGTAGAGGAGGCGCAGTCTGAAGCCAATTTATGGGACTGAGATCCACTGAAAACAGCCATTTAATGGTTGATCACATCCAAATAGCGCGCTCCATGCATGTTAGCATATAGTTCTAGCTGTTTGATTGCTGGTTATGTTGAGTTTCTTGTTCCTGATTCTGATCCTCTTTTGTTAGATTCACATCTATTCTTTGGAGGTAATTTTGCTCCATCATGTTTGGTAAATGGAAATTTGAAGAAAAGGTAATCCAGAAATTAAACTTTGACTATTTTCTCAATCAAAAAAGGATTTTGAGGGTACCTTTTTAAAATATAAATCATTTACTTACGGATTTTATATTTTAAGATTTTTTTCTAAAATTTCTTCTTTTCAGGTTAATTTTATTATTTTCATTCTCTTCACTTTTGGGGCCGGGCTTTCCTCTGGAGTGCGGAGCAAAGATATATTTCTGCCTGTCTGGAAGGACGTTAACAGTCAAGAGAATCTTGTTTTTAAAATGCACTTTAAAAATATTGAAATATGTGATTTATAATTTAATGCACATCCAAAAATTACTCAATCTGTTTTAGTATTGGTTGGAAATGGAATCAATCATGTAATCTTTACACTTTTAGAAACATAAATAAGCATTTTTCTTTCTAGAAATAATAAAGTAACAAGATTCAAGCCTGTTTATGTTGAATTTATAGGAACAAAGAGTTTTTTTCTAAGTTTGACCAAGTTAACACCGATTTTATACTTTCCACTACTTCATTATATTACTGGAATAAATTAACCATGCGATTACGTGATGCAAAACAGAATAAAAGACACATCTAATATGCAGATCGTTATGGTTTTTATATCCATTTAAGTTAAGATGCAGTTTTAATGAACTGACTTCTCTTTTTTTTTGGTTTTGTCTTTTGCTTATTTTCCTCTTCTGCATTTTAAAGCTGAACCAACAATTTTGTCAGATCTCAAGAGCTTGACCTCTGGTTTATATTCTGGGAACTTATGCTTCATTAATTTTTTTTCCTGTCAACTTATTCTAGTTTATCATAATAGAGGTTATTTAAGGCCAACTGGGACTTCCTTTTCTCTGTAAATAAATGTCATTATATATACTCCCCCTGGGCTGCCCCCTCATCAGGGTGCAGGGGTCTGGGTGTCCCAATGACCTTAGGAGCTATGCTGTCACCAAAGGTCCTAGGGGAGGGACCAGTCAAAGAGAAGTCTACCTCTTAAGCCGAGTGCGATTTTCCAGACGATTTTCCAGTCATGCGAGAATTTTTCGATCGGGCCGACTTTCAGTCTGATCATGCGTCATGTAGTGTGCAGGGGGTAACGAGGGGCGATCAGTCTCTCATGACCACCTCCCGATCAGGAGTCGTGAGGTCCCACCTCTGGGAGAGCTTTGAACAAGTTCTGAGGGAGGTGGGGGACATTGAGTCTCCATTGCTGAGGCGGCTAATCGAAGCTGTGGCTGCAAGCTTGTCGGTGCATATCGCAGCTGCAACCCTCGAACAAGCCGGTGAACACCAGCGTTTTCGAAGCTTTATTGAGCTGGACTCCACAAACAGGTGATGTGCGCCGGCAGTCAAATCGACAGGTGGCTCAGCTGGTCGCTGAGGCAAGAACTCGGGCGTGATAGTCTGTAGAGGTGGTGAAAGACTTCCGTACGGCTTCGAAGCGATTCTGTTCCACAATCTGGCGTCTCAGGAGGGGGACGCAGTGCAGTACCAACACTATTTATAGTGCGGGTGGTGTGCTGCTGACCTCGTCTTGGGACATCGTGTGTCGGTGGGCGGAGTTTTTCGAAGACCTCCTTAATCCCACTAACACGTCTTCCATTGAGGAAGCAGAGCCTGGGGGCTCCGGGTCGGGTTCTCCAATCTCTGGTGCTGAGGTCACTGAGGTGGTTAAAAAGCCCCTCGGTGGCAAGGCTTCAGGGGTGGATGAGATTCGCCCTGATCACTTAAGACTCTGGATGTTGGCGGGCTGTGTTGGTTAATGCGAATGTGTGGACATCAAGGGGAGTTCTCCTGGATTGGCAGACTGGGGTGGTGGTCCTCCTGTTTAAAAAGGGGACCGGAGGGTGTGTTCCATCTACAGAAGAATCACACTTTTAAGCCTTCCTGGTAAGGTCTATTGCTGGACTCTGGAAAGAAGGGTCCGTCGCATAGTCGAATCTCGGATTCAGGATTAGCAGTGCAGTTTTCGTCCTGGCTGTGAAACATTGGATCAGCACTACACCCTCAGCTGGGGCGACAGTGGCGTCGGATGTAGGAGTTTGCCCTGAAATCGAAGGATTGACAGTTCAAGCCCCGGCTCCGACTTTCAGTGTCGTTGTGTCCTTGGGCAAGACACTTCACCTGCATTGTCTACTGATGGTGGTCAGAGGGTGGGGCCAGTGTACGGCAGCCCCGCTTCTGTCAGTGAGCCCCAGGGCAGCTGTGGCTACAATGTAGCTTGCCACCATCAGTGTGTGTGAATGGGTGAATGAATGTAGTGGAAAGCGCTTTGGTCAAGTCTCATGACTTGAATAAAGGCGCTATATGAGTACAGGACATTTACCATTTACCATTTCAGCAGGATCCTGGAGGGTGCATGGGAGTTTGCCCAACCAGTCTACATGGGTTTTGTGAATCTGGAGAAGGCATTTGACTGTGTCCCTCGGTGGATCCTGTGGGGGGTACCCAAGGAGTATGGGGTACCGGGCCCTTTAATAAGGGCTGTTAGGCTGACCGGTGTCAGAGCTTGGTCCACATTGCCGGGAAAGGGGACGTCTGGGCCTCCCTACTGAAGCTGCTACTCCCGCGACCCGACCCCGGATAAGCTGAAGAAGATGGATGGATATATAGATTCCATATTGATGGATGTCATTGAATTTATTTCTCAAGAGTTTTTAATTTTCTTTATTCCGATTTGAAATCCAAATAAGCATTCACATTTAAGCCCTTTGCAAAACTGTAACCAGCAGATCATATTAATAACAACAAAAGCAGAGGAGGAAGTGAAAAAAACCTGAATTGTTTGTGGCTTAGATCAGCCTGTGAATGAAGTCAAAGTCAAACAGAAGTTATAAATTCCTTGATTTCATCAGAACTATTTACTCATCACCAGAAGGAAGAGAGTCACTCCAACAATGGATGGATATTTTTTGACTGATCATCTAATTTTAGATACTCCCATGTGACATAATATGACTAAACCTGAAATCTAATTCAGGATCATTTTAAGCGTCAACGTCCTGATGTGTGGGGCATTGCACAATCATACTTCAGGAGTCATTCGTTGGCCTCTTTCCAGGAGGAACTTTCAGATTTATGCATCTGATCTTATTTTCTGCATTAAAAATAAGAGAAATGTGTTTCTAATGTTCAGACCTCCTCCTCTGAGCTGAGCAAACTGCTGTGTTTTTAATCAAGAGAGAAGGCGTTTGAAGGACGAAGCCCCACTATGCTGCTCTGTGCTGACCTGCTGGTTTTTCTCATACCTCCACCATGAAAGGGGAATTTTCTTCAGTATTGTTTTCTGATTTGAAAAAAAGTTTTTTTTTTAAATCTTTTAATAGAATAAAAACTCCTTGTTAACTAAATTTGCACTAGTTGTGGAAAAAATATCCTTAAATAGATTTGCGCAGTGAGTGGGTATCTTGTGTCATGCTTAAGGTCAGAGCTGTTTTTGTTCAGTGACTCAGTGTTTCTAAGCTCAGCTGGTGTTTCTTTATTTAACTTTTAAAAAAATAACGTTTTAAAGAGTAACCAGGTTTTCTGTTAAACTTTTATTTCTTTAATTAAAGCAGAAGGAGCAAAAGTCAATTTCAGTTACCAAATAGTTTTTAATGAGCTTCTGTAACGATATGAAGTCTGCATTGTGTTCATTTAAACCAGGGAGCTGTTGTTATGGGCCATATGGGCGGCTGCTCAGGGCGGCACTAGTTTAGGATGGTTTACGCAATCATAAATTAATTAAAGTAATCTTTGTTGTCAGTCAAACTGAGCTCATCTTAATGTGAGGGATAAAGCATCCTTTACAACTACAGTTTATATTTACAAACTGTATGGAGTTTTATTTCCCCCTGAAGGCTTTTATGCCTCAGAGCTTATTCTCCGTTCCTTTATCCAGAGATTGTCATGATCTTGGCGCAGTTTAGACACTGACATTTTTTCGGGAATCACGTGACCCGTGGGATTCCCGTGGGATGGGAGTCAGTGTTAGTAACAATCACGTGATTGGGACGGTACAGAATTAAACATTAACGGGAGCAGACGGGAGCGGGAGCAAACCAATAGTAACTAAAAAAAACTAGGATCGA